TACGCATATTCCCATGACTTTTGCATAATCATTTTATGATGTTTTATGAGGCATCTAGGCGGATTGGGTATATTTGGTTGGTAGCCAAATTGCAGTTTCACCCTATCTTACTGATGCATTTCCATAATATAGAAATATATCAGAGGTGTTGTTGCACTAAAAACCAAGCTATCCTCATAGTATTGTGGTGTGAAATCAAGATATGACCTCCATATAAACTGTTATAGTATAATATTAGTGTAACGAAATTGATTTTAAGAAATGATGGAGAAATAGTAAAGTCAAATATATTACATCATTTTTCTCCATGTGATCTATGCTATTCCGGTGACCAACGAGATAATGACGAGGGTTATTGCTGTAGCAGATCTTTTTGCAACACCATATGTAATAAATTGAAAATAAAAAAGAATGTAAGCACTTTTAAAAAACAAAAATTTATATAATTTAGTAAAAAATAAGAAATTAAAACTTACCTTAAAGCATAAGGACGTGTTAGTATTATTAGACTCATTTGGGGCTATAATGACACTTGTGTGACCCCCAAAACTTGAAAAAACAAAAGACATTCTCTTATTCCTTCGATACCAACTTCAACGACTTTATACAATCCATATAAAGTGTTACAAAAACAGGTGATCCTAACTATACTTATCACATTCGACAAAATCTCGAATGAGTGGTGTCCAATGAGAATGTACAATATTATTGGACTTGTCGAGCATTAATAATAGGCTGACGAAGAATATGATGTAAACTCTAGCATGAAGTATTATATCATCTAAGATTGATGTTTCTGTTAATGAATTATTATCTATAACACTCTTAAGCTATGTTGTCTTTACACTCTTACCCTTTGTTTGATTAGATGAAGATGTATTCTTAAATTAATTATCCAAACATCATTACCAATTTCGGTAGGGCTGATTACAACTTTACCATTACGCGAAAACCCAACAACATACTAACCTCTTCCAACGTGATAATACATTCCTCGGTTGGAAAATGAAATATATGTGTTTAGGCTTCAATCGCTATAGTAATGCCCCAATAAACATGTAATCAATTGTTACACTTTTAAGTGTGTCTACACGCGATAAACTGACTGTTTTCTAATAAGGTAAAATAAATGGATGTGTATCTAATTTTTTTTATGAATTTGAATTCTAAACCTTTTGTCATCTCCACTTTGCTGAAATATAAATACACAATAATATTCAAGATAAATAATAAGAAAACTTTTAAAAAATACACATATGAGATACAAATAGTAACGAATCTTAAAAAAAAGGCACATTTAATAAATAAAAATTCTAAACAAATTACACATTAAATGATAAACTTACTAATGCAATGATATTTTACAATGTCTTTTTATGAATATCACTCATCCGAAAGAGACTTTTTTACTGTCTTGCCCCAATATTGAAACAAAATTTCCAATTTGCCCCACTTTAAAAATAAATTCTAAGAATACCCATTTGAAGAAGGGGCTCGGCCACTCATTGACCGAGGCCCCCTGAATTTTTTTTAATGTGTACCCTCAACCATTCATTGAACTAGGGTCTCATTATTTTATTCTTTTTTCATTTTTTATTATTTTTATTTTTTTAATTTTTTTAAATTAGTTTTTTAATTAATATAATTATAATTTTAATATTTTATTAATACAATGTTTTTTATTATTTTATTATTTTTTATAATAAAGATTTTAACTTTTTAAATAGTACTTGTACTAAATTTTTGTAATTAATTTTATATTATTTAATAATTATTTACAATAATGATTTAATAATTAATTAAAATAATTATTTAATAAAACTATACTATTTATTTAATTTAATAAATGTTTTAATCACATGTGACATTCATTGTCTGAGGGTTGCCTTTGTTAGTAGACCCTCATCCAATAAAGACCAATTATTTGTGTATTGATTTTCTATAAATGGCTTGATGAGAGGAAATGTTACTCATCTCACTTAACAGATATTTTATGTAAATATGTTGGTATGGGCTATTGTGTTTTACGAGCATGAGAAGAGAATGAGTGTTTGTCTAGATCCGTAATGGAATTTCAGAACAATGATTGTAGCCATCAACACGAGTTTTTGATAGTTGAGTGGTCGGCGTAGGAAGGTGAGAAAAGAAAAGTATCATTGTCCATACATAAACTTGATGGATGCCAACTTTGATAGTATGTACATGTATTATATGAGTGTTGTTAGAAAGATGGAGACCAGAAACACATACATTTCATTTACCAACTGGTGAATATAAAATAACGTTAGAGGATGTCAACATGTTGTTGGGTCTTCGAATAAATGGAAAAGCTATTAATGGTCCTACTCAAGTAGGTAATGATGTATATATTGAGAATTTAGGAATAGAACATTCGAGTGAAGGAAGAAATTAGTCTTCTGTAAAAATTGTCTGGCTAGAAATTTTCTTAGGAGAATTAAAAAAAAAATCCTTACCAACCCCAGATGATAACATTCTTCATGCCAAAAAATATATTCTACTCCTCATTGCTAAAGTTTTAATGTCAAACAAGAGTCATAACTTCTTGCATAATTCTTTGTTACCTTTAGTAGGAGATCTAGATAAATGCAACACATATAATTAGGGTTCTACTTGTTTAGATACATTGTATATGTATATGTGCAAAGCGTCCTAAAATGGAGTAAAAAACATTGGAGGATGCGTTGTCCTACTTATCGTTTGGGCATACACACATATACCATTATTTTTTCCTAAGAATAGCGTGGTGCCATCTCATCCATATGCATTAAGGTTAATTTAATTTATAATTGCATTATATTATATGCATGTAAATTTAATTTATATGCATTAAGGTAAATGTATTACACTTCTTTATTTTGAAAATGCAAGATTCTTCAACGACATATTACATAAATAATTCTCGTTTTCACCTACATGGGTATTGATTCGCAATAAATCACATAAAGGAGAAAGATGTAAGTTTGTAACTGTACAATCTCTTTACATTTTCTAAGATAAGTATTTGCGCACTAATTATTATATTTCGTGTAACAATTTATATGAAGGCCATACCTTCAATACCTACCTTGTGATTATAATGATAGTATGATTTAAAGTGCGACGATATCAATTATCTTTTTTATATTGTTGAAATATATAAAATGGATAGGGTCAAACTCTAGTTTGAGTTTGAACAACAAATCCATTCTCAACTAATATGTCTAAGGGAACACCACGAGATGATGGTGAGCCAGATATAGGGTGATCATTGGTGTATATTAAACAAAGATGAGAACAAAGAGTGGAAAAAAAGAAGATAGCTGATATTAGAGGGGAACACAGTAGATGGTGAGTGTAGGCCAAGTGAAACATATATGGATTAATTTAGATCAATTCCATTTATGCATATTTCGCACACGCAATTTCTAAACAACCACCGTCAAAAGGCCTCTTCTTAAACACAACAAACAACCCCGTCCATACATCATGAAATTTCCTAAATGAACACATCATAGTTTAAATCCCATACATCTTCATTCCCCCCAACAAATATATCATCACACCCAAACCACACAACAACACACATTTTATGCCACCTCATCTCAATAACAAACTCCTCGCACTCTAACCCCTCAAACAAACTACTACTACCACCAACAATATCAACAACAAACATCACTTCGACCACTCATAAAATACACTCCAATTCCTTAACCTAACTTCGACTACTCAAATCCACAATATCAACAACAAACCTTTAATCATTCATTCTCTCAACCCACTTCTACATTCAACTCTGAAGATGTTTATTATTCTCCAATTCAGTAAACTATACAAACACCTTCACACAACCAACACATCCAGTCGCCGACTTTTAACTCACGAATGAGCAACTTCTCAATGTGCCAAGTTTTTCCATTCATGAATTTGATGGTATAGATATAGAGGCCAATACATCACATCAAAATGAAGATCTGTCTTCTGACTCTACTCCATCTCATACAAGACAACAAACTGAAGAGTTCAGAAAGGAGAAACGCAAAAAAAAAAAGAGTACAAAATGTGAAACAAATGATCATTTTAATAGACCCTAATTTATATCTCTTCTTTTCGATAATATAAATAAAAGTGTTTTTCTATCTTTTTTTAATTGTTTAATTGTTAATTGTCATAACTAAGAAACTAATATAAAAATTGATTACAATCACATTAAAAATTATTATAATTTTTATTTAATAAAATATAGTAATAATACAATAAAAAAAATTTTAAAAAAATAATTAATAAAATATTAAAATTTAAATTATATTAATTAAAATACTAATTAAAAACATTAAAATAATAAGAAATGAAAAAATAATAAAATAATCATACCCTAGTCCATTGAATGGACGAGAATGCACATTAAAGAAAACCATCACACCCTCGGCCAATGAATGGCCGAACCCCTTCAAATAGGGTATTCTATAAATTTATTTTGAAAGTGAGACAAATTAAAAATTTTGTTTCAGATTTAGGAGAAGGAAATTAAAATCCTTCTAAAGAAATACATTTCACACATTATAATAAGGGAGAGTTTGTCGAGACACTTGAGACATTATGATCGATGTTTTCTTAAAAAATTTAATAAAAAAATAATTAAAATAATTTATTTTAAGATAGATGAAATACTTATTCTAAGCTTATTTATATAAGTATTATTTGAAAAATATTTACAAAATAACTACTCTATTATTAGAAAATGGTAATATTAACTTGTTTCAAGAATACATATTAAGAATTTTATAAATAAAAAATTTGTGTTGAAAAAAACAATAAAACAATTATATCCTCTTAATTTATTTATAAAAGATACTTTATTTATTAAATAATTAATATATTAGATCAAATACATTTATTATTAAATGAATCTAAAAAATAATGGTTTATCATTCACTGAAGTACTTCAACTGAGTCAAACTACCAAACTGAAGTAACCAAAAAGGAAGAAAAAAACAGTAATGTTGCATCATCAACCAACCTCCATCTTCTTCTTCTTCTTCACACTCTTACTCATCCACCTCCCTCATTTCACCACCGCACCAATTCCCTTTCCCGATTACCCATGCCAACCACCGCACCACCACCACCTATTCTGCGACAAATCCCTCCCAATTCAAACCCGAGCAACCTCCCTCATCTCCCTTCTAAGCCTCTCCGAAAAAATCACTCAACTCTCCAACAACGCTTCCTCCATCCCCAATCTCGGCATCCCGTCTTACCAATGGTGGTCCGAGTCCCTCCACGGCATCGCAACCAACGGCCCCGGCATTGACTTTAATGGCACCATTAAATCCGCAACTGATTTCCCTCAAGTTATTGTTTCCGCTTCTTCGTTTAACCGGTCGCTTTGGTTCTTGATTGGATCTGCTACGGCTGTTGAAGCTAGGGCAATGTATAATTTTGGACAAGCTGGGTTGACTTTTTGGGCTCCTAATGTTAATATTTTTAGGGATCCTAGATGGGGGAGAGGACAAGAAACTCCTGGGGAAGATCCTATGGTTGCTTCTGCTTATGCTGTTGAGTTTGTTAGAGGCTTTCAAGGTGGAAAGGGAATCAAAAAGGTGTTGAATGATCAAGATGATGATGAGATTATGTTGTCTGCTTGTTGTAAACATTTTAATGCTTATGATTTGGAGAAATGGGGACAGTTTGCTAGGTATAATTTCAATGCTGTGGTAAGTTCTTTTATATTTTTGTTTTGTTCTATGAAGCAGAGACACCGAAAACATGACACCGACACGTTGGTAGGTTACTTGCCTTCATTATGCATGTGTATTAGAGATGTGCTTGATTAATGTAAACTGGATTCAATAGTCATATTCATAATAATTATGTTTGATTATGGTGTTGATTGTTGAGTGAAATTGCTTTTTGGTAGGTATCACAACAGGATTTGGAAGACAGTTACCAGCCACCGTTTCGTGGTTGTGTTCAACAAGGGAAAGCGAGTTGCTTGATGTGTTCTTACAATGAGGTTAATGGTGTTCCCGCTTGTGTTAGTGAGGATCTCATGGGACTGGTTAGAAACAAGTGGGGATTTGAAGGGTAAGGATTTGAGGTATTTCTGAAAGTTGAATTCGTGTCGTTGAGAAAACACGAGAAACATGAAAAAGAATGATCTTTTGTTGATTATTAAGATTGGTGATTTTGAATTTTGAGCGTAGGTACATTACCTCAGACTGTGATGCTGTGGCTACTGTTTTTGAGTATCAGCATTATGCAAAATCGCCGGACGAAGCTGTTGCTGATGTTCTCAAAGCAGGTATTTCAATTTGTTTTGTCTTTTGAGATGAATGTTTTTGATGAATTAATAGAATATTATATGAATTGGATAGTTTCTTAGTTATTTTAAATCGTCATTCGGTATTTAGGTGTGGATATTAATTGTGGAACGTATATGCTTCGACACACCAAATCTGCCATTGAACAAGGAATGGTGAAGGAGGAGGATTTAGATAGAGCTCTTCTAAACCTTTTCTCTGTTCAAATGCGCCTTGGACTGTTTAATGGTGATCCGAGAAAAGGCAAGTTTGGCAAACTGGGACCTCAAGATGTTTGCACACCGGAACACAAAAAGCTCGCACTTGAAGCTGCAAGGCAGGGGATTGTACTGCTGAAGAATGACAATAAGTTTCTTCCCTTGGATAGGAAGGCTGATTTATCCTTAGCTGTCATTGGCCCAATGGCAAATACAAGCAAATTAGGTGGCGGTTATTCAGGTATAGTTTTTCATATTGGAGCATTGTAATTTATCAATCTTTATTTAATTGTCCGGTTCCATTCTTGATGCTGAAAGTGAAACTTATATCTTTTACCTAATAATGTAGGAATTCCTTGTTCCCCCAAAAGTCTATACGACGGACTTAAAGAATATGCAAAGACAATATCCTACACTTTGGGTTGCCGTGATGTACAATGCGACTCTGATGATGGTTTTGCTGAGGCTATTGACATTGCAAAAGAAGCAGATTTTGTTGTTATAGTAGCCGGGATTAGTACAATACAAGAGACAGAGGATCTTGATCGAGTTAGTCTTCTTTTACCTGGTAAACAGATGGAACTTGTATTGCGTATTGCTGCTGCTAGTAAAAGACCAGTGATTCTAGTTCTTACTGGTGGAGGACCCCTTGATGTCTCCTCTGCCGAAACAGATAATCTAATCGCAAGTATTCTTTGGGTCGGGTACCCTGGTGAAGCTGGTGGAAAAGCACTAGCTGAAATCATCTTTGGAGAGTTCAATCCAGGTATGTTTTTTGTTAATAAATGAATATGCTACTCGAAACGGGTGTTGTTAATTCAATACACGCAGTAAACATTTGAAGTTGATTTTGTTCAGCTGGAAGGCTTCCAATGACTTGGTACCCTGAGTCGTTTACCAGTGTTCCCATGAACGACATGAGAATGCGAGCTGATCCTTCACGAGGTTATCCCGGAAGGACCTATCGGTTTTACACTGGAAGTAGAATATACGGATTTGGGCATGGCTTAAGTTACAGTGATTTCTCATATAGGTTTTTGTCAGCTCCAAGTAAACTCAGTTTATCTAGAATCACCAAAGGCGGTCCTAGAAAAAGTTTATTAAGTAAGGCAGATCAAGAGGCTTATGAAGTTGAACGTGTTCAAGTTGATGAGTTGCAAAACTGCAACTCATTGAGCTTTTTAGTGCATGTTTCTGTGATGAACCTTGGTGATTTAGATGGAAGTCATGTGGTGATGTTGTTCTCAAAATGGCCTAAAGTTATGTCAGGTTCTCCGGAAAACCAGCTTGTTGGATTCAGTCGTGTGCATACGGTTTCTAACGAACCTATTGAAACAAGCATTTTTGTGGATCCTTGTGAACAATTGAGCTTTGCAGATGAACAAGGAAAAAGGATATTACCCTTGGGCAATCACATTTTGAACATAGGGGATGTAGAGCACATTGTTTCTATTGAAATTTATTAATTATTACTCTGTTCATTTTTATTTTTACATGTCGTTTTTTACTTCTTTTTTCCCCACGTATTAGAACAATTAATAAATTGTGTTTTGCTATGGAGGTTTACACGAGGCTGTTTAAATTCGTAGTTACAAGACACAGACTTGTAATAAAACTTACAAATGACTTATCAACAGTAGAACGTCATGAATCAAACCTAACATTAATTGGTCTACTTTTCTCCCATAAGGACGGATTAAGGCATGAAAAATAAACATTGTAATGAATGTAATACTATTCTAGATGTAAAGTAGAAAAAATCATACACTAAAGAAAATATTGTCACACAAGTACAATTAATTGTTTTGAAATAAATAACTACATATTGAACCTTAAAAGGATATTAGAATTCAGAACATTAAAGGTGCAAAGTAGCTGTCTAGTTAAGTTATTGTTGTATATAGGAGCGGACATCGGTTCGATATGCAAATATGTGGGTTCAAAGTTTCACAAAGACTCGATATCAACCGTACTATTTTTGAATAATTAGAACGTAACAGGATCAAAGGTCCGAAACCATCTCAGAACATAAGGAAATCAAATATCATAAAGATCAATAGCAGTACCGATAAGAATAACTCTCACTCCATCTCACATGTTCATTCTAGTTTTGGATATGGCCAAAAGGTCTTCAGAGTCGCGAGTCCACGTGAAAACACAATTATCGTAACAACAAACGCGTACAATGATAGTATCCCAAATAAACCCTGTCTGAGTGTGGCTCACATTACCACACTAGTAGGATCTGCATCCCGTAGCTGTCATGACTCCACTCTAATCTTATGTGTTCCTAGGTGTTCTCTCTGACCTGGGTATTGAGACTTTTACCACATAGTAGCATCTCACCCACAAAAAAACAACATCACAACATATATCCAACACACAAAACCAATAAAGTCAGATGCAATGCATGCAAGCACATAAAGCAGGTAAAGCTTAAAGAAATAAACATCCAATAAAAAGAAACAGACAAGAGCTACGACTGACTTGCTCAGGTTTCTCCAGCTGTCGCTACTGCGAAAAAAATACCGACCAAACAGAGTCGCCACCGAAAGTTATTTATTCCAAAGAAGGGAAAGGAAAACATCGAGAAAACTAAAGAAAGTGAAAGAACATGGTCTTACGACCAAGGGAAGGGTACAAAATTCGTTTACCCAAGGGGAGGATATTAGCATCTTCCACGTCCGTGGTACTCCACGGGATCCACTCTAGTCGTTCTAATCAAAGTGTGTGTGTTTATTTCTAATACTTATTTGCTAAGAGAATGCATGAATGAATTGTTAATGAACAAAAAGAAAGTTTTTTATTATTGCGCTCGCCTCGGTTTTACAACATCGTGTCTACGTATCTCGAAATAATCAGAGCACCGTAGTTCTTTCTGAAAAATTTAGGTTGGTTGTATGTTTTTTTAGTGAACGATGTTAAGTTCGCATTCTACTGCCGCTTGACGTTTGGGGACTCATACATGGTTGTATTGTTTAGAAAGGAACTAACATGTTCTTCTTGAAAGGTTTTCAAAAGAAAAGCCATAAGGCAAAAGAGAATTGAATTTGTTGTGTATTTTATTGGGATCATAGCAAAAGAGTTTGCAAATTAAATCATACAAAAGTCTATGGATGAAAGAAAAAACAAGGTTAGGAATGTATGACCTCATTCTTCTCCCACCACTTAACGCTCATTGTCATATGATTCACATCTTTATTTGTTAAGTATTTTTGAGATTGAAGAAGAAGAAAATTTAGTTTTAGGATGCAATGCAAAAAGAAAGAGAAAAAGACTAAGTGGAACTCAAGTCCTGATTGTTGTCATGCATCATGGTCCTAAAGTTAGGATGTCAAAGGAATATCTACCTATGTTATCATGCTTGGATGTCAATCCTAAAGTCTATCTCAATTTAAATCTTAAAAAGATTAAATTGAAAGATCCTAAGGGCGCATGTTATCAAACAAATCAAGCATGTAAATAACATATTCATGTGCAAAGGTAACAACCTCTAAAGGAAACTCAAGAAAGGAAACTAAAAAAGTATTAGGTGAAAATGTATCAAAGAGACTATATGAAGGTACCTAAACTTGCAATAGATAACTGTGTAATTAAACAAGCTCAAGAGATGTACCTAAACATGTAATAGGTAACACACATGTGAACACCTAATAAAGCAATAGGTAAACATGTATGAACGATAACAAGAAAGTACCTAAACATGTAATAGGTAAGTATTCATCATCTGAACAAGCAATAGAATATCATGTGATCACGATATCATACCAACAAGCAAGGTAAACATGCAATAAGTAACATGTTATCAAGATCTTATACCAACAAACAAAGTAAACGTTTAACAAGTAAACATGTTATCAAGATCTTATACACACAAGCAAGGTAAACATGTAACAAGTAAACTTATCATCAAGATCTTGTACCAACGAGTAAGGTAAACATATTATCAAGATCATACCAACAAACAAGGTAAACATGTAACAAGTAAACATGTTATCAAGATATTATACCAACAAGCAAGATAAACATGTAACAGGTAAACATGTTATCAAGATCTTATACCAATAAGCAAGGTAAACATGTAACAAGTAAATATGTTAAAGATATCATACCAACAAGCAAGGTAAACATGTAACAAGTAAACATGTTAAAGATATCATACCAACAAGCAAGGTAAAACATGTAACAAGTAAACATGTTAAAGATATCATACCAACAAGCAAGGTAAACATGTAACAAATAAATATGTTATCAAGATATCATACCAACAAACAAGGCTAACATGTAACAAGTAAACATGTGATCATGATATCAAGAAAGTACCTAAACATGTAATAGGTAAACATTAATATCAAGTAGAAACAAGCAAGGTAAACATGCATCATCTAAACAAGCAATAAATAACGTGTTATAAGATATCATACCTAAACAAGCAATAGGTAAGTATATGTGAACATGAATCACAAAAGAAGATACCTAAACATGAATTAGGTAAACCACATCAAGATAATGTTATCTCAAAGGAATATTCAAAAGAAAAACATCTAGACATGAAGTAGTTAAATTCACTACAAGAAAGTGTTTCAAGAAGAAATGTATCTAAACATGAATTAGACAAACATACACCAAGAAATGTTTCAAAAAAGAAAATAATCTAAACATGAATTAGACAAACATACACCAAATTGATGTTATGGTAAAGATTCAAAATCAATCACCTAAACATGAAATAGGAAAACATGTGAACGTGAATTACAATAAGCAAAAGTATTACAAGAATATGACGAAGATAGAATACTTAAGGCAAGTGAACATGAATCACATAGCATAAGCATGACAACAGAGTAATAAAGAGAGAATACCTAAATATGCAATAGGTAAAGCAAGTGGACATGAATTACAATAACCATCTCAAGAATAAAGTAACCTAAACATGAATTAGGCAAAGCATGTGAACATGAATCAAAAAAGGAAAAAGCATCTTAAGAGAATGATAAAGAGAGAATACTTAAACATGAATTAGGTAAAGCAAGTGAATCATGAATCACATAGAAATTTCTCAAATTCACACAAGAAGGAACAAAAGAGATTCAAGATTTGTCAAGACAAAGCAACAAGTCCTTTAAACATGATCCAACAACCAATAGGCCAAGAAACTCAAAAAAGCATCCCTAAACATGCATTAGGTTCTAATCTACCCCAACAAAGGAAGAACAAAGTATCAAGTCATACCAACATGCAAGGTTGACATACAATACCTCAAGAACAAGCAAATTCACATTTGAACACATAAACATGCATTAGGCAAAGCAATAAGTCACGCCAACAAGTAAGATTGACAAACAAAACTTTAAGAGCAAGTATCTTCAAGTTTGAAACACCTAAACATGCATTAGGCAAGGAGCGAACATGCATCACATATCAAGACATGTTAAGAAAATTCCTAAGATAAAGTACCTAAACAAGTATTAGGTAAAAAGTGAACATGCATCGCATGTCAAAAATATCTCAAGCACCAAGAGAACCTAAAAAAGTATTAGGTAAAGACAAATAACACCAACAAGTAAGGTGGTCATGCAAACTTTAAGATATCATTTCAAATTACACATCTAAACATGCATTAGGCAAGGCAAATAGTCACACCAACAAGCAAGGTTGGCATACAAGCTTAAATGAGAAATTATTTCAAATTGGTAACCTAAACATGAATTAGGAAATGCAAAGTATCTAGGTATCTATCTAAACCGACATGGAAAAACACAAAGATATCTCAATGGAGCTCATGTTATCAAGTACTCAACTTAAACAACAAATAAATGCAATGAGATTCATCAATCAATCCATAAATGGCATACACTAATGCTAAACCCTAAACATGCTTCAAACTTGGATCAAAGCAAGAAATAATGTGTAAAAGTAAACACTTATGCACCCATTTCAAACATTATAGGTCATGCTCACAAGGTGAAGAGTTAGAGTTTTGGGACCCAATTGACAACAAATAAACAAGTGCACAAGCATTCATCATTTTAGGTATCAACCAATCATTACTACTTAACACACAAAGATAATTTTAATTATGAAAGGTAAAGACAAAGGAAATTAATCAAGTACATTACAAAGTGTTAAATTCAAACACATCTCAACGGTTGAGAAAAATCACAAAAGGATCAATCATTAATTAGGTCAATAACCAAGCAATTATCAACAACTAGTTCCCTAAGATTGAGGCAACAAGTGATCAAAGCATTGAGATTACAACATGATAGCATGATGAGGTAATATCATAGCCAATAAATTAAATTCAAAACATAGCACATGATTGCAAGAAGTTTCAACAAGCATTGTGTCCAAAACTATGATCAACAATTAGACATTCATCAATTCAAGTCATCCTCAAAAGAATTCATCTATTCATAGCAAGCAAATGGACAAATGATCATGAACTTTAGACATTGAGACATGG